AGTCGAAGAGTTTACAGTAGGTACTTTAGAAAAGCAAGCTTAGCTAAGCAAATCAATACAAAACATGAATGAGCAGTTTATCAGGGAATTAGCACCCATGTAAAGGTACCAAAGAGAAATAGAAAAGACTAAAATTTGAACTTTCACCTTGGGCAACAGAAGTGACAAATGTGTGGACAGAGTGTCAGACCTAGAAATCAGGGCAAGTGACAAATTGCTCAGAGATATCTTAAAAAACAAGAGAATATGAAAAACGGATCTACTGGCTACTAGATGATGCAAAGGTGACTGTTCTAAGACTAATTGGAATTAATGAAAACTCAGAGGAAAGCCCAAACACCATTTTAAAAAACCTTCACAGAAATAATAGGAGAAAACTTTCCAAATCTGCGGAAGGAATTTAACATGCAGATAAATGAGGTACATAGAACCTCAAATACCCATAGTATACAGATAACTTCTCCACAGCACATCCTAGTCACAATCCCAGAAGCCCAACATGGGACAGACTCAAAAAAACTGTTAGGGAACAGCAATGAATAACTTCTAGGTAAATCTGTCAGATCATTCCAGACTATCCAGCACAAAATGTAAAGGCCAAGGAGAACTCGGAATGGGGTGGTTCAAAAATCCAAAAATCCAAACACCGAAACCAAACAACTACAGAAAAAAACTTCTGCGGGCGCTGCAAATCAGGCCCAGGATGTAGAGCAGCTGCGTCTGACAGCACACGTGACACGAGCTCAAGTAGGGTAGAGTAGGGGGTGGTACTCGGGGGTGGAGGGAGAAACAGGCAACGAATCACTTATAAATAGCGCCCAAGCAGGACCCGAAGCCCAAGTTCCAAGAGGGTGAACGAGTACTGTGCCTTCATGGGCCCCTTCTTTATGAAGCAAAGTGTGTAAAGGTTGCCACAAAGGACAAACAAGTAAAATACTTTGTACATTACAGTGGTGGGAATAAAAAAAGTGCTGTGAGGCCCAGGCACTCTGAAAACACTTTTAAGACACATGAGGATATTGTAGCCCTTTTTCCTGTTCCTGAAGGAGCTCCCTCAGTACACCACCCACTCCTGACCTCTAGTTGGGCTGAGTGGGTTCCAGAAAGCAGAGGACTCAAGTATGTGGACACTGATCTGCAGAAACAACGAGAACTTCAACAGGCCAATCAACAGCAATATGCAGAGGGAGAGATGAGAGGGGCTGCTCCAAAACAGAAGACATCTGGTCTGCAACAGAAAAATGTTGAAGTGAGTACTAAAAAGAACAAACAAAAAACCCCTGGTAATGGAGATGGTGGCAGTACCCATGAGACACCTCAGCCTCCTCAGAAGAGGAGGCCTTGGGTTGATCCTACTGTTGAAAATGAAACATTTATGAACAGAGTTGACGGTAAAGTAAAGATCCCTGAAGAGCTAAAACCATGGCTTGTTGATGACTGGGACCTAATTACCAGGCAGAAACGGCTCTTCTATCTTCCTGCCAAGAAGAATGTGGACTCCATTCTAGAGGACTATGCAAATTATAAGAAATCTCGAGGAAACACTTATAATAAAGAGCATGCTGTTAATGAGGCTGTAGCAGGGATAAAAGAATACTTCAGTGTGATGCTGGGCACTCAGATCCTGTACAAATTTGAGAGACCACAGCATGGTGAGATCCTTGCCTATCACCCTGACGCACCCATGTCCCAGGTGTACAGAGCACCACATCTACTGAGATTATTTGTATGAATTGGAGCAATGTTGGCCTATACACCTCTGGATGAGAAAAGCCTTGCTTTATTGCTGATTTATTACATGATTTCCTCAAATATCTGTTGAAGAATTCGGCAACTTTGTTTAGTGCCAGTGATTATGGAGCAGCCCATCCTGAGTACCATCGCAAAGAAGTGTGAGGCACTCTCACCCGTGTTTGGATCTCTGTCCACACATTTTTGCTCCTAGTCTTTCTCTTGTACAAATGATGTACTTTGAAGATGTTAGGGTATAACAGAGTTGGTGTTTGTTTTGTTTGATTTTAAACAGAAAAAATAAAAGAGGGTTTCAGCTCCATTTTTCTGTTTTTTCATTTCAAAGTTGCTACCAGTGTAATCAATGATGGACACCAGAGAGTCACGGTATAGAGCGTTTTATTGCCTAGTTGACAAAGCTGCTTTTGAATGCTGGTGGTTCTACTCCTGTGACACTACACACTTTTATAATACGTGTTAATGCTATATGACAAAATGCTCTAATTCCTAGAGCCAAAGATCCAACTCAGTGTGTATAACTGAACACACTCATCCATCTGTGCTCTTTTTTTTTTAACGGTGCTTAAAGAGCCCATCCTTTGCAAGTCATCCATGTTGTTCCTTAGGCATTTTATCTTTGCTCAAATTGTTGAAGAATGGTGAATTGTTTCATGGTTTTTGTATTTGTGTCTAATGCATGTTTTAACATGATAGATGCAATGCATTGTGTAGCTACAGTTTTCTGGAAAAGTCAATCTTTTAGGAATTGTTTTTCAGATCTTCAATAATTTTTTTTTAATTTCAAAAAAAAGAAAAAAAAAACTAACCCTGACTGATATATCCTGCAAAACTTTCAAACCTGTTAGAGAAATGAGGTCTTTCCATGACAAAGAAATTCATGAACAGCATCCAAAAAAATTTCTAGAAAGAGAAAATAAATCCAACAATGCCAAATAACTTAATGGAATGAATAATCCGGCAAGGTCATTAGGTAAACACAAGGGGAACAAAAGGAAATCAGCAACAGAAAAACAAACCAAGGAGGAGAACACATTGGTGCTTCTCAGAAATAACTCTAGAAATGAATTTTCCTTAAGAGCTAATGATGTTATTTTTGAAAGTCTCATTTATTAAGATATATGTTCCTTATTAAGATATATTTATTAAGATATATGTTCCTTTTATATATGTTCCTCATTTATTAAGATATATATTAAGATATATGTTCTCATTTATTAAGACATATGTTCCTCTAAGATATATGTTCCTTTATTAAGATATTTGGCTCTTTTCTTATCCTCTCCACCTTTTGCCTGCTATTACACTTCATAATTCATAAATCAATACTGGAATACCAATATTTAAGTTCCATGACAGTTTACTATTCTGCTGAATATTATTTATGTTTGACAAATGCAAAATGGCACTACTTGGCCATTACAGAATCAAATAATTTCCCTACTTTGAAAAGTCCCCTGAACCCCAGGGCTGCAAAAAATTTACATGTGTGACTCTCAAACTCAATAACACTTCAGCTGGATAAAAGAAGTGTTTTCCAGCCTAGCTTCTTTGCTTCAGGGTGAGAAATTCACAATTCGTAAGAGTCTCAGCTCTCCACAAGAATAGCTAATGGAGGGCCTCAAAATATATGTGCAGAAATGGATCATCAGAATATATAACCCCATGGTATTCGTACATTGGAAACAGATGAATAGTAGGAGGAAAGTCAAAGTTTACACTTCAGAAATGCAACTTATTCTGCATTTGTCTTGAGGTGCTAGTGTGGAATTTACAGATTCCATGTGTCTAGTAGCTACCTAGGTAATAGGGACTATATGTGCCTGGGAGGTTTTGCCTTTCTTTTTCTTTCTTTCTTTCTTTTTCTTAGCACATATGACTGGTTCTCAGACAAGCATGAGCCACATAGGGAAACATCTGTGGCTGCCCTGAACCTGGGCAGGGTCCAGGGTGAGGCTAAAATTCCTATCTTGTGTTTTGGAGTACACAGTGCCTACATGCTCACAAATGAGCACAAGCCTCCACAGACCACTTCAAAACACTGAACTTTGAATCTTCTGCTGCAATCCATTAACATCACCTCTAATAACTTCAGTGCAAATATCCTGTTGACACAGAAGTAGAATGAAATTGGCCCAACAGGAGGAGGAGGCCCCTGGGAGCCTGTCATAAGTGGACTTTGATGAAATAATGGTGCCTGGAGGTAAAGAAGCTGATGTTCCAACATTTTCCAGCTTTTGTTTCTCACCTGGACACCAGGCATCAGATGCAGAGCTTCAGGAGAAATGGTGAAAAACTCCTCCAGGAAAATTGGGGAGGTTTAGCTAAATGAATATGAGATTATTAAAGCCATTCACTTCCATTGCAACAATAAAGGACACACACACACACACACACACACACACACACACACACACACACACACATTCATCCATACATACACTTACTTGGCGACATTGTCAGCTCCACCTTCACTCAGACTCAAGCCTTTCCAGACGCTTAGAAGATGCTCCCTTTGAGTTTTACCATCTTCCTCCTGCAGCCTGCCCTCTTAACTTGCTATGTCGCTGATGATGACTGTCTCCACAGCAGGAGTACCAGTGTGCACAAGGACGGAGATGTAGTAGTTGGGGGATTTTTCTCTCTTTATACCTACATCTATTTCAGTGAAGCCACTGACATGAAGCCCAGCAAGGACTTGCTTATCCAGCAGTAAGTTTGTTTTCCTTATTCATTTTATGTTTGATCATCAGGATTGATAATATTTGGCGATCTGTGAGTAGACAGATCAATACTCTCTGTATCCATATCCTGCCCTTCCCACCCACACTTGCACAGAACTCTCCATAATTTATTTTGTCTTCTGCTGTACTCTTTTTTACCACTTGAAATGAAAAAGGAAATTGTTTTTCATGCTTTTAGTCCCTTTTCATGGTTAGAACCAGAGGGAGACACACCGTTCTACTTTCTAGTATTAGACATGCACCTGCTTACACCTGACCCTCCAGTGCATGACAGGAGGGGCCATTCAGTGGAAACTTAACCCAAATCATTGGACTGAGTTCAACAGTAGAATGTTGAAGTAAACTATCCTCATCATAAAGACCATGCCTTGGTAATATTCCCTTCATTATGAATACAATTTTCATATCCCACTGCTATTTATCCCCCCACCTGTTTGGGCAGCTTCTTGTGGTGGATATTCAGTCACACTTTCAAATAATCTGTATATAATGCTTTCGTGTTAGGAAAGCTCCATGAGCCATGCCAGGGATAAGGAAAACATAATCTGTGAAATTTTATCCTTTTATTCGGTTTTGCTTCAAATGCCAGTTCTCTGCTTTCAGAGATTAGTGCACCAGTTCTCTCCCCAAAGGAATAATTAATAAGATTTTGTATAGTGCATAGGCTTCAAGGAGATAAAGAGAATGTCATGGAAAAGTCTGTCTAGGAGAAAAGAGAATGTCACGGAGGCAATGACTGCTTTCGTGTTTGGTCAGAGCCACAAGTGTTGCCTTTAGTAGCTCCCACATTTGGGAGCAGGGATGGCAAATGCAGGAACTGGGGCATCTTCCTGACCTAAAGGATGTGTCTGTACCTATCTCATTTTTCATCAGGTATAAGATGTTTGCTTCTATTTCTTGTTCTTACATATATTTTTGATGTTTACACTTTTTGGACAAGGTTTTGTTATGTAGCCAAGGTTCACAACAATGTCTCAAGTTGAAACAATATCCTTACCTTAGCCTTTCAATTAGCTGTGAATAAAATCATGTGTCACCACTCCTGGTGTTCCCACCATCATTTTCCATACTATGTTTGATGATATTGGCCAATTTGTTTAATGTAAAAACTTTTATTACTTGTTGCTTTTACTAGAGGGTGACAGATTTATAGGATTATTTTGTGAATGAGTCAGGGCTCTCTGCTCTGAAAGTTCTGAAATCTGTTAAAGAAATAATTACTACTGGCACTTGCTGAAAATGGTAAGAAAGCTTTTTATCAAATCAGGCAATAACTATCAGGATATTGATCAGTGCAATGAGGTTTTACATTACAGAAAAGAAGTGAGGGTGGACTTTGATGACCACATGGGCTAACAGAACTTCACAGCCAAGGAGTAAGTTGAAAGGTCCAGGTAGAACAACACCAGGAGACAATACAAGGGTCATGATGATTCTGGATAAATCCTCCTGGAAAGGATCTAGCAGAGGGAAGCCAGGGGTGCTCAGGCACTATCTGGAGACAGTAAGCGATGGGGAATGGGTCATATATCAAGTTGTTACCAGATTTCAAGGATATTTCAAGGGTTCAGTAGAAAGAGTTTGTTTCTCTTCCCAGCTGAAGAGGAGAGGTGCCTGCTCTTCCTCTTTTTCTCAGCTGTCCACTGTCACCAGGTCCAGGAAAGAGTCTGCAGTGGCAGGTGGGCTTTTTCCAGAGCCCTGCACTGGACACACTGTCTCTGGCCGAAAGGAACATTCATGAGACTGCAGGTTTTCCTGCCCCAGGACACAGACGCAGTAGGAGAGAAAATGGGCAAATGTCAATTGCCACTAAAATCAAAAGAAATATAAAGAGAAATTGGGGAAAAGAAAATTATATACTTAGATAAAATTAATTTATTTTTACAACAATATTATTTTGCAAAATATAGTTTTAATATTTTAAAGAAGGCTGCAGCCCAGTTACACATAAATGCAATAGCCACAAAAATTATATTGTAATTTTAATATTCTGGACATTTTTTATATACATATACAGAAATAATATATGGAAATATAGAGAGAAAATGTAGTCATTTGTGTATATATTACAATAACTGGATTATGTCTCTTTCTGTTTAATACATTTTTGTATTACAGTTGAGATATATGCTTTATATACATCAATAAAGTCACAATAATTCTTATGCCTGTACAATATATCCTGTAAGATTAACATAATTTTATTCTCACCCAATTTG